GAACGTAAGCCGCTGCTCGATTGCGGCTTCGCTCGCATGTATACAATGGCTGCAGCTTTTACAGCAAAATTTCATGATTTTGTGGTTTCATATCTCCGGTATAATTTTGATTGGAGCTTTCAAACTTTGGAATATGGTTTGTAAAAATAAAATCTTTCATTTGATAAAAAGTTTTTTTGGGGTCTGACTTCCCCTTTAATAAAGTCCAAGTAAAATGTAAGTTTAAAATGAAGAATTCTGTCGAAAATTTTGGAAGCAAACCTAAACTGTCACCTTTGCACTTATGTATCAACATAGGAGAAGCCTGTTTTAGACCTAAATCTTTTCAGTTTTAAGAACTCATGGTTAAATGACTTAAATCGTGCGCAACTTCACTTTTCGAAGGATGGCAACGCATCTTTCCATAATTTTTCCTTAAACACTAAAACTTGGTAAGAAATTGATCATTACCACTAAAGAATTTTTGTTAATAAGCTTTTAAAGAGGCACATCATTATGCATAGGCCTAAGATAAATGTCAAAATTGTAGAACAAACATTTAGCAGCTTACAGCTATGTTACAGATGCCATAAATTACATGCCTTTCTGATTAACCTGCTTTAAGTGATGCAAGAGCAAAAATAATGTTTTAAAAGTATTGCAATCAGGCTATTAGACTCACTAAACACAAGAATTACTTTGATTCATTGTTTTGACCACTCTTTCTACAAGGTCAGTCCACATAGGATAAGTGAAGTCCATTCTTTACTTTGGAAGAGTAGAATTCTGAAATTTCTCTTTTTAAATATAGAAGGACAAAACATTTTTTTGGTTTTGTAGAAGCTGCACTAAACATTAAAGTGCTTGCTCACTTACTTCTAGCAGAGGATCTTGTCTCTATTACATACCAATGTCCCGAAACCATCTTTAGTTGCTGTTTCCATGCATTGATTATATAAAGAATGACTTCAAAAATAATTCAGATATTCTTTATTGTAAATCAACATTATAAACTTTTATCAAAGGACACAGAGTAAATTAGTAAATTAGTATGTATAGATCAGAATCATAACTACATTTCTTGTTGAGAAATATATATACAGGATCACTTTTTCAATCAATGTGCCAGAACTCTTTCACTCTCCTTTTCATGGTATGACAAAGACAACTTTTATCTATGAAAGTCCTTGCTAATCAAATTTACAATAAAACAAAGTTTCAACCCAAGCAAAAAACCCCAGCTTTCTGGCTTCTGAAATGACTCACTGAAAAATATTCTTTCTTGAACTGTAAAACATGATCTTGAGCATAAAGCCTTAACTGAAGATTAACAATAATCACAACCTATGAAAGAGATTGTTGAAAAATACAAAAGTTTACCACTTCTGACATATTGTAAACAAATAGTAGCTAAGTTTGTTCTAAGAATCATATAATGTTGAGTTTTAGCTTGGTATTTTGAGATTTTATGCTTCTTAACTGAGATTTTTAACTTCTTTTTGCAAAATACCTCTCAGTTGTATACAGAATGCAATAAGAATGACTTTAGCAATATTTACACTAACTCTTGATTAGCAATGGAAGTTTATGGAACTTACAGCCTTCTTTATTTTTGTACCAAGCTGCGCTTTGGCCTTTCGGTTTACAACCACAAAGGAACCTGCATCCCTTCTAGCTTCAAGGTATGAGTAATGGAACGATAACCACTGGAATTTCCAGGTCCATCAAGCTCCTGCCGAATACGCTGGCGAACACTGTTCAAATCAAACTCATTGTTTTTTCTTCGTAAACCAAGCGCTCGAAGTCTTGTGTGTAAAGTTCGTAAAGACATATTAATATCATGATATCGCCTTAAGAGAAGCAGGATTTTTTCATTTGCAAAACCTTGCGTAAAATAGTTCTTAATTACATCGTCTTCGCCTTTAGGAGCTTCTTCGTTTTCCTGCATTTTAGTTTGTGGTAGTTTTAATTTACAAGGCAATAAACAAAAATCCTTTTATTGTCACCCCCCGGTTAAAATTTGTTGTTCCTAGTCTCCTGGTGATATGACCGGTAGGCTTTGTTATTGAACTTTGATTTTGCATTGCGAAAACTGATTTCGTGCATTTTTTCAGTTTTATTTTGCATTGCAATATTCAATTTGTTTATAACTTTTAGTTTGATTTGCATCGTGGCAAATTTGTTGTGCATTCAGCATATTATTTTTGTATCAAATACATTGTTTTTGAATTTAAGAGAATGTTTGTGCATTGACAAATTAATTTGTGAATTGCAGATACGGGCCACCGTACTTTTCTTTTAATAGATAACCAAGGAGCAATGAATCTAGCTAAAAACCTAGTTCATCATCAAAGATCAAACATATCGACATTAGATACCACTTTATCAGATCAGAAATTCAGCAAGGAAGAGTTAGTTTAAAATATGTACCTAGTGAAGACAACATAGCATATATTTTTACAAAACCAACAAGCAAAAATAAATTGAATAAATTTAGGCAGGCAATATTAGGAAACGTACGGCAGAAATTCTAAAGTGCGCATAAGTAAGGCCAAAGGTAATTATCAGTTTAGGAATAATAATAATAATAATAAAAAATTAATAAAATGTAGGATGCTTAGAACATAAGAGCAAGTGGGGTGTTAAGATGCTCTGTAACAAGTGCTCTCATATTCTTCCTGTCATTAGTAAATAACTAAGTCAAGTGTAACTAACTAAATGATTATTTTAAGAGATACTTATGTGCAATAATGACAATATTTTTTATAGTTCCTAATAGCTTTCCGTTGATTGTAAATTAACCATATTAACCATAACCATAATTAACCATATTTAGTAAAGAAACAAATATATCCATACGTAATATCGTGTATAAATAGAAGTAGCTTAACCATCGTACGATAGATCGTGATCATGGCTACATCACAAAACATAAGAAAGCGCAATGCTGGTCGTCCAGCAAAATACACGTTTGACGTAAATGCAATTGCTGCAGCCATGTCAAATGTGTCTGGCAACAGAGACTCTTACAGAGACTCGAACAGCTTCTGGGGGGAAATCCTTCTCAAACTTGGTCTGTGCAACAAATTACTTGCGCGGAAGAACTTGTATGTCAGATGGAAAGAAAACAGGAATGGCATGCGAACTACCATCGAGGTACGCAAAGGATATTTGATTTCATGTATTGATCATTTCTTTGACAGTAAAAGGTTTATGAATTTTGTGCGGTTTCAAAATTATCTTAAACTTTCTGATTGGTTGTTTGTGTAAAGATTACGAATTAATTTTTTTCAAAACGTAATGACCGTTTGAATATTTGTCATGTCTTCTGCGCATGCGCTGATAAATAACTGATGTTCGTGCTTGAGAATTATTCAAAGCGAAAGCAAGGCCAAAAATTTTCTGCGAACTTAAATTAAAATGCAGTTTGTCATTTGAGTAATCAAGATTGTTGTATTTTTGCTCTATTTGATACGTCGCTCGCTCAGTGCATTGCGATCGAAAATTTATAGCATTTTGTACTTCGTGATGTTATCAGTACAACAAAGACCTTGTATAATTCATCGATATATAGTTGCATAAAATGAAGCGTTAATCCTCACTTAAAGACGAAATAAAAGTTACATCGTCGAAAATATCGCTAACCTATTTATGTAAAACAGAAAAGTTACAAGCGTGTTGAATTATCGGTTGGGTGGAATGTGTACGGGTCAGAAAATTGTTTTAAAAGAGTTTTTGAGGATAAAGTATTCACTGCAAAATGGTTTTCGGTGCACGATCTTTGGACTTTACTTTGCTCATTAAGCACAGTCACGTGACATGCAATGTAATGAAGGGCGTCTTGTAAATGCAGAATAGTTTAGATAGTTATTGGACCCACATGTGTGCATAGCTTAACTTTGTTTTTAAGGCTATTGCACTATTTTTGAGGGATTAGCTCGATAAAAATTTGCGTGTATCCATACCAGGAACTGTGGAATACAAGTCAACAAACATCTTCAGTCCCGTTAAAGAAAGGTGTATTTTATGATGAGAAGGAAAAGGCGATTGTAAGTGCTAATTTTGTCGTTCGCGTTATTTTTAGGTGCATTCATATGCGCACATTGAACAGAAACATCAGATTGTTGTTAAACAAATGTGTATGTTTTGAAAAGTGAATACCCCTTGCCCTAACAATGTGAGTACTTCTCCCAAATGTCAATACCACCCCCAAAAGGTTTATACCCTCCCCAAAAGTAAATACCCTCCCCTATAAAAAGGAATACCTATCCCCCGATATTACCAGACAGCATTCTAGTGTTATTGGTTATTGCATTTGGAGGACATATTTCTTACGTACATTTAATTTTTCCTCATTTCAAGTCTCCCGCATCGAAAGAGGATGATGCAGAATTGACGAGTTGCAACTCGGGACACATTGATGACAATGACAAGTTTTTCGTTGTGGATGAGGATAACACAGTGAATGTGGTGAATGTGGAAATTGTTTGTTTTTTAATTTTGTCTAAGTTGCAAAGCAATCTATAGTAATTTGCTATGTAAGAAATTTTTCTTCTTTTTTTTTTTCGTGTTTTAGCGAAGGAATTATGCTGCCTGTGTTATCCAGGTAGGTACGAGTTAGTGCTGTGTTCTATACAGGTTTATTGTATAATTTTGATGGTGTCATTTTAGAAACATGCCAGGTTGATGATGCAAAGAAAACAGAAAGTTCTCATCTTCAATTCGGCTAGAATAATCCAAGCATACGTTCGTGGTTTTCTTGTAAGACGTAATCTCCATCGTCGACACCAGGCTGTAAATATCATCCGGACATGCTACCTGTCCTATCTCGTTGCAAAGAAGACTAGACAGCATTTTAAAGATCTCAGGATGGCTACCTTGCGTCTGCAATCACTGTATCGTGGCAAGATGGCAAGACGTCATGTAGAGAAAATAAAAGCGGCACGAATTATTCAGTCTCGATGGCTTAGCTATCTAACAAGGCGCGAATTTTTAGCGCAGAAACAGGCTGCATTGGTTATCCAGACTGAAGTGAGAAAATTTATCGTTCAACGACATTATCGAAATCTGAAAGCGAGCGTTTCCTTTCTGCAGAAACGTTACAGAGAGAAGTTGATGGCAAAACTGCAACAAAGGGATGATGCTTCACGAGTCCTGCAATGCCATTATCGAGCTTATGTATTGTCAAAAGATGTTCAAGAAAAATACAAGAACACTAGAAACGCCATAATCAAACTTCAAGCATTATGGAAAGGATATCAAGTTCGTATGAACTATAGTAAACAGAGGACTTGTATCTTTCTTATCCAATCCAGAGTTCGTGGTTATATCATGAAAAGACAATACTTAAAATGAGATTTGCTGCAGTTGTTCTGCAAATGCGTTATCGTGCATTTCGAGAAATGCTCATCGCTCGTGCTCAATACTTAGATACCCGTAGATCAATCATCAAACTCCAGGCTGTTGTACGCGGTCATCGCTTTCGTCAAGAACTTAGACAGAAAGTCCTTGCAGCCGTTCTCATACAATCTTCGTTTCGCAGTTACGTCACACGGTCTCGATATGTATGTTTGAAGGAAAGTGCCATCATTCTACAGAGACGGTATCGTGCATGGAATCTAGGTCATCGGATTAAAACGAATATAATTTAACACGTGATGCAATCGTGACCATGCAGAAGCACACACGTGGCTGGGCATTGAGAAGGAAATGAGAAGACTGAGAAATGCTACAGTAAGAATACAAGCTGTGTACAGAGGTTATCAACAGAGAAATATGTACTCAACTTTGCGTGTGTCGGCCATTGTTATACAACAAAAGTATCGTGCAACCCGCAAGTCTCGAATTGCCCGCAAGGAATTCATACAAAAGCGAACTACAACCGTACGCCTTCAAGGTTTTGTTCGTGGAAGATTATGCAGAAGACAATGCGAACGTGTTAAAAGCTCTGTAAAAGTTATTCAAACTCGTTGGCGAGCCTTGCTCAACGCTCGCAAATCAAGAGCGGAATATCAACACATGAGAGCATGCGCAATCACCATTCAGTCTTTCACCAGAGGACTGCTGGCTCGCAGGATAGCACACAGAAAACGAGCTGCAGTTACAATTCAGTCATTCTGGAGAGGTATCGTCCAGAAGATTAGCTACCATAAGTCTAGAAACGCTGTTATGAAAATACAAACTTGTCTACGTATGAGAATCGCAAAGAAGAAATATGAGCACTTGAAAAACACGGTTGTACACCTTCAGAGACTGGTGCGAGCCAATCAACTGTGTCGACTTCATACTATGGAGTACCAGACTAAACGACAAGCTATTATCGCTTTACAAGCTTCTCTACGTGGTTATTTGGTGAGGAAAAAGTTGAAAATAATGAATGATGCTGCTATCAAAATTGAGAGTGCTTACAGAGGTTATTCAACTCGAAAGCGTCACCTAAGGGTGACTCGTTGTGTTCTCTTACTTCAAAGAAGGCGACGAGCCACAACTTTGGGCAGAAAAGCGATGATTGACTACCAAAGAAAACGACGGTCAGTGAAATTTCTCCAATCACAGGTCCGTGGTTTTATTGCAAGAAGAAACTACAGTGATATCCTAAGGAAAATTATTTCTCTTCAATCCGCTGTACGTGGCATGCAGGCGCGTAAGAAGTATCTAAAAACATGTGAAGCTGCCTTTGTCATTCAGGAACGTTATCGTGCCCACAAGAAAGGTTTGATGATTAAAAAAAGATATCATCTACAACGAGGTGCTTGTATTACCATTCAGGCTAATGTAAGAAGATGGTTATGCAGAAAACGATATCAGAGCATGCGCGAAGCGATTGGAACAATCCAGTTATATTATAGAGCAAGTTATTGGGCCAAAGTGGAACGGAGGATGTTCCTTAAAACAAGGAGTGCGATCGTGGCCATGCAGGCGTTCACACGTGGCTGGTTAGCACGTCGCAAAATTGAACGACAACGCGCTGCTACACGTATTCAAAGTTACTGGAAGATGCATGTTGCAAGACAAAGGTATTTATATCAACGTGCATGTGTTGTACGGATACAATGTTATTTCCGTTTGTGGGTGAACTGTAAAAGATACATCACCTTGAGAAAAACGGCAATTTTTATCGAGACTTGTTACAGAGCAAAAATACTTGGCAAGAAGGAACGAGATCACTATAAAAAATTGAAAAGATCTTGTATTATAATTCAACATGGTTACCGTAGGTACAGACAACGTCGTTTGGTCAACAAAATTTTGGAAGCTGTTTCTTCTCAAAAAAATGCTGCTTTGGTCCTTCAGAAACGACTTCGTGCTAATATGGCGGCCAGGAGCATTCGTCAGTATTATCTTCTTTTGAAAAGATCCTCTGTACTTATACAAGCTTCCTATCGTGGTCACTTAGCTCGAGCTCATGTCGCCAGGATCCGTTCTGCCATCGTGATACAGTCGTACTATCGCGGACACCGGCAGGCAACCGAGTATAGGGGGATAAAAAATGCCATAATCTTTGTCCAAGCTCTAACTCGAAGGAATCAAGCATTTGAGAGATATAGAAGTCTAAAAACTACTGCGTTGGTTGTTCAACGTCATCGTAGAGCAGTTGTGATTGGTTGCAGACAAAGAAAGATGTTCTTAAAGATGAAAGTAAGTGCTATAAAAATGCAAAGTTGCTATCGAGGTTATAGAGCACGGAAGGCGTATGAACTTATAAGACAAGCTACCATAGAGATTCAGAGCTTTATCCGTGGAATAATAGCCTTAAATAGATATGAGAAACTACGCAAAGCCATTGTAATACTTCAAACCAGAGAAAGAGCGAGAATACGTGGAAAAGAAGAAAGAACATCATATTTAAAGCTGAAAAAAATACACCATTTCTATGCAGAGTTTATTTCGTGCAAAACGCGATGAAATGAGTTACATGCTTACTCGAAACACCATTATAAAGCTTCAAGCTATGTTGCGTGGGAAACATGCACGAAAAGTGTTTCAAAGATCACGTTCAGCTGTTATCGTGTTACAACGTGCACAACGAGCACGGATGTTGGGAAAACGAGAACGGATTCAATTCATGAAAAAAACGAAATAGTACTGTGCGTATTCAAAGTCTTATAAGAATGCACTCACAGCGAACACGCTATTGCAAATTACGACATGCGGTAATCATTGCACAAACACGTTTCCGTGTGAAACGAGCGCGCAAAACTTACCAAACAATGCGTACAGCTGCCATAATTATTCAAAGAGCGGAACGTGCCAGAGTTCTTGGGAAGCAACAGAGAGTGAAATTTTTAAAACTGAAATGTAAAGCTGTTTTAATTCAGAGTTTGGTACGATGTCACACACAAAGAATACGTTATCTTAAAATAGAACACGCTACCAACATTATTCAAGCGTATGTTCGTGGCAAGAAAACACGACGTTTTTATAAAGAACTACATAAAGCTACACTGGTTATTCAAAACCGCGTGCGAGCAAAACGTTTTGGTAGAAAAGACCGTCAAACATTCCAGCTGAAGCGACATTCAGTTATTGCTATACAGAGTTGGTTTAAGGCTTGCAAAAGAAGGCGGGAATTTTTACAACTGAGAAATGCCTCCGTATTGTTGCAAGCCTTCTGGAGGGGATCACATCAACGAAAGAAATACAAAGAAATGAAGAAGGCCGCAGCTTGTATTCAACAGCATTATCGTGCTCTTAAAACGGGAGAAGAGAAGAGACATCGTTTTCTTGTCGTCAAACGGTTTGCCACGAAAACGCACATCAATCTCATGGCAATACGTTTACAACGAGCATATCGTAAAGCCATGGCGATTGCTCTGTTGAAAGCTAAGATCGATAGCGTGGTGATAGTACAGGTATTTACGCAACAGTCTTCTTAAATTCATGAATTTAATGTTTATTGCCCTCAAAATAGTTTTTACTTGTTTTGTTACTGTAATTGTAGCGATGGTGGCGAGCTAAACTCCAGAGGAAATTCTATCTACGAACTCTGCATTTCATTCGTCTTCTCCAAAAGAAATGGCGTACACGACTTACCATAATGCACCAGTCAGCGACAAGAATTCAGGCAGTTGTGAGATGTTTTTTAGCTCGAAGGTTTGCTCGAAAATAAATGAAAGCAATCATCAATATACAGGTATGTTGGTGATTGTTGACGATTTTATAAAACCCATCTGTTTGGTAACTATGAACTACAGTAAGCGGCTTAAGTGGGTATCCAGCTTTCTGCTCTTCCAAAAACCTTTACAGTGTGGCTGTACCTTATAGAAAGGACACCCAAAAATTTAGCTTCTTGCTTTAACCGGTATGATCTATTGCATGCTGGGTTTTTATTGGTGTACAAAATTTTGAAATTAAGCAATGGTCACCAGGAAGAAAGAAATTTTAAATAGTGTGAACTTTGACAAAATATGCAAGTCACTTGTATGTAATGAAATACAACTAAAGAAAATTGAAAGTAACTAATACTGATGAAATATTTTTTTACTATTTTATGTTTCTTGCGTTACGTATCACATCGCGAACATGAGACATTCGCAACCTTTGAAAGCTTCCAAAGCCCCTCAGCAAAATGTTTTTCAAGTTCTTTAGATTTCTGCATGTTCCAATCGTTTCTTTCCTAAATTGTTTTTTCAAGATCTCTAGTTTACATTTCTACATGTTCCAATAATTTTTTCCTTTCTCACCATAAAGAGAACGTGGCGAGGTTACAACGTTCGAAAGCGCTTCAACTCGAAGAAGTTTAGAAAACTAAGAGAGCGAATTATTGTGGCTAATTCCAACGTCACCGAGTCCATGAAGCTTTGCAATCGTACTCGTTCTGCACTCGACTATTTACTAAATTGTAAGAATTTAACAACGGTCCGTGAAGCTCTGGTTAATCTTGGTATGTCGCACTATTTAATTTTGCAATCTTCACTCCATTATCTTGTTCAAATTACAACGCCCATACAATCACATAATTGCCTTTAGTTCTATCCGAATTCTTATATACTGTCCATTTGCTTTTCCTCCCCATTCCAAACCGTATTTTTCAGCATCAAAAGATTTGTACCCGAATTTCCTTTTGGATATTGATTTGATCATTCCTCATTCTATGAAATGTATCAAACTATACGTATATTGATCATACCGTATACCAAGATATGTACCCAATTGTACACCTGTATATTGATCATCCTTTTTTCTAAGATATATACCCAAGTGTCCTACTGTGTATTGGTTATCCCTTATACTCCATTCTCTCGACAGAGGTTGCAACAAGATGGACATTCAAGTGTTCACAACAACTGGTTGAGAATAACGCTCTCCGTGTTATTTTTCAAATTATCCGAGACTCAAATAGGAGTCTACCTCACATGGGATTGATCAAACAGGCGTTAGATATTTTCACCAATGTGTCCAAGGTGAGTTTGGGCTGAGATCCATTGATATTTATTGAACATTACTGTCACTGAACGTTGGCAGTGTAATCAGTTTGTTGTTTTTGCCAATTGTTGCATGGTTAATTGTTTTGTGACTCAACAAAACTTCATGCTTTCTGCATTGTTTTTCCACCATAGTTGTTGGTTGTTATTGATAAATGACTGAGAAACTGTAGTATTTTCTGTGAAGATATTGCCACTTTCATAAATAATGGTTGCACCTAATTTTTTATCATTATTCTAATATCTGACTTGAAACAAAAACCAAAACACTTTTGCTAAAGTAATCATGTATCCAATTAGAAACCATTTTGATGAAAACACGAAACAATCCATGTTTTTTTACCAAAATACTCTTTGGAATTCTTAATTTGACTATAAACTATATGCGCAACACATTTTTAGTGTCCAGCCACTCAGGATGCCGTGGTTTTAACAGAAGAAAATGCATTGGAAACCATACTTGAACTCGCGTGTATTTTTCGCGAGAAAAAGGAAATTTTATTCAGCGTTGCAAAGCTACTTACAATTTTATGTACTCACGAAAACGTAAGAAAGGTAAGCAGAAGTAAACCTCTAGGACAAGAGCTGCCTGCATGTATTTCTTCTAAAGGGTTAGTCATTCTTTGTAATGTCGAATTAATTTAGCAACTTTTGTCTGTTTTGATTCGGCTTTAGAAATTACTGAAAACAGAAAACGCTGCAATGAAGATATCTTCGATTTACTCCATCACAAAAAGGAAGTTTGAAATCGAGATGAAACGGAACACGAAGATGAAACAACAAAATGACAAGGGCGGACGATACAAGACTGATAACATTTATGGTGATGCCTTAACAGCCGTGATCACTCTTATGAAAACGATTGGTTTAGATTATCCCGTATAGATAGGTTTAGATCATCCCGTATAAATAGGTTTATATTGTTAGTGCAATAAAAAATCGCATTGATATTTTGTAGTCAGTGGTGAAGACATGTACTTGCAGGTAATTGTAAACTGCAGATATGTTGTTACTGTATAATTGTTGACAGTATATGTTTGAATCAGCATGTTTGTCTTGAAAATTAGCTCATGATTGTTTTGAATATTCAATAATATTTTGGTTATGGTTACTTTTCAACGGCATCAAGGTACTAAAAGTCCTTTACAGTTTAGAAAACACCTTCACAAAACATTGCCGAATTTTCAAAATTGTTGATGGTTTAGATATGGTACGTCCATCATGCATTTTAAATAATGAAATCTACGTGGAAAATTTGTGTGACCCAAATTGGCTTTTTCCGCCAGTAGATATCGTGCAGCTTTGTCACACTTTTGTCACGGAGCTCTTACCCGTGCCAGTTAGTTTCCAGTCCCCTGAAGTTGATCGGTGCGTGCGCATGTCAACCGGAAATAGGGTTTAATAAACATGGCATGGCATTGGATGGCGTGAAAATCGGAAATACGACAAAGCTGGAAGTTGCATGCTATTGACAAAGTAACATTAGATCCGTTTCCTTTTCTCAATCGAAGGTAAAAAACGGTAGAAAACGAGGTAATTGCATTTTATAGCTTACACTTTATCGAAAGGTTTACATTTTATCTCTTGAAACAAATGGAATTGAATATAGACATTGATCTGACATGAAGAATGAACAAATTGCTTTTGGAGTCAGAAAAGAATGAAATAACTGTACGTCAAAGTTTTTAGAAAATAAACTTTTAGACTGCTATGCTGAAGAAATTGCTGCAATGATAAGCGCTGAAGTAAATAAGAACTGCAATGGATGCATGATTGATCACCCCTCTCAACGCGAGCATGACTGTCTCATGATGGAGCATGACGAGGGTATGTTACAGTAACCGTGACTGAATTGAAGCAAGTACAGTAACCATGACTGAATTGAAGCAAGTTTTGAAGGAGCAAGAAGATCACATCGACCAGTTAGAGGCGTGTAATGGTGATCTAAGGCTTGGCCGCAATGATGTCGAAAAGCGTTTGAAGGGCGTTCGCGAAAAACCCTCGGAAGCACAGAAAAATCTCCAGGGACTTGAAAATGAGATAGCTCATAATGCTGAAGTCTTGAAGCAGAAAACGGAAATGTTGGAAGTGCACTAGAGATGAAGTCACTAGAGGTACTTCTAGTGACTCGAGTAACTGCTTTTAAAATTCACGATAAGTCATGGGCTTGCGGGCTGATATTTTTTGGGTGGCGATCCGGGTATTTTATCCCCCCTCCCAATTTCTCGACTTTTTGTTCTTTCTAGTACAGTTTCTAGTTAATCGCTATAGTTAAAAGTTACTTGCAACGCTGTTACTTGTTTAATTAAAGTGAATAGTTATGCGTAACCGAATATTTTAGGTAGCTGATGAACGGATGAAAAACAGTTCTTTGGACACAGAACATCATGATGATATGGTGGATGTCATTGGCATGGGAAACCTGAATGACAAGCATGGTAGAGAAGGCTATGTAAGAGTATGTTATATGCAACGTAATTATCATTTTCTTTGGTGTAACAACATAATAAGGCATGCGCACAGCGAAGTCCATGTGAATTTTTCATTTTGCATAGTTTTTCATCTAATAAGTCGACTGCATTGACTTTCTTCAAAACGCTATTTAGTACAAACATCCTTTATAAGCTCAAACGTTTAATAAACGCTTATAGTCGATGACATCAGATAAAGAAAGACGACGTTTTTCATCACTGACTAAAGTTCAAAGAAACATAAAAGGTTTATTGAGCTTATAAACGTTTATTAGTTTTATAAGCTCGTGTATATAAGAGAGCCTTTCTTAAATAAAAGTGCTTTATTATTCACATTACACCTTGAAGCCCACGTTGGAACAGCGTCCATGCAAGGCTTTCCACAAGGCTATTTAAGTATCACAGGCTTGCATTTTCGCTACAAGTATTTCCATTTTACACCCATTTTCATCAGTGTAATCTAACTTTAAACAGTTTAAATATTCACGTAGTAATCGATCTGAGTAATTGCTTTCCTCCGGTAACAAACAACGGACTTTCATAGGCTCACCATCATATTTCATTAATGGTACTCCTTCATTATTTTCTGCCATCACAAGTTCTGTAAAGTGTCCATGGTGATAGCCAATCGGAAGAGGAATTTTGATACAATCTACGGAGTCAGCCAACAGTGGTAAGTATATGCCACCAAGGTCTACACCAGCAATTTGGACATCACAGTCACCATGATGAGAATGGTGACATAATACAAGAATAGGTCTTCGAAGAACATTAGCTAAAGCAAAATATATGAATCCCCTCAATACAGTTTTTACTGTCTTGAGGGGATTCATATATTTGCTTTAAGCCTCATTTCCACCTATCGCACGAATCAACTCGCAGCTCGCTGCGAGAACTCGCAAACTCGCAACTAGTATTTTTTCTGACCTAGCAGATAGTTCAGATTTTTCAACTATTTTTTTCTCGCAGCTATGTCAAATAAAAATTCACCAATGAAAGAAAGGCTACTGATCACGTGGCATTGTTTTTAGGATATTGTTATTTTCCCCATTTTTTTTCAAAAAACAAACTACAAATGTCGGATACACAACGAAACGAAAGATGGAGCGATAAAAAGATCGAACTTTCAATCGAAACAGTAAGAAAATTTCACGTTTTGTACATGGTTAAAAGCCGTGGATACAGAGGCAAAACACAAAAAGAAAATGCATGGCAATGTGTGGCAAACGAAGTTGAACTACCAGGTCAGTCCGAAAACACTAAAAAATGCTATAGAATTGCTAAAGAACAGTATAATTTTTAATTATTTTTCTATTTTGTCTTCAAAGTTCCATGATGTCAAGCGAAATGGAAAGGATTAAGAGATACTTTTTTCAGAAAATGTAAGAAATCAGAATTTACCTTCACGTTCTGGAACAGGAAAAGAAATAAGATGGAAATGGTTTAGAAGCATAGATTTCATCAGGGAAACCATATTGCACAGAGCCACTTCAAGCAACCTCAGTTGCAACCAAAGCAGTGAAAAACTTCATGAAATTGATGAGGAAGATATTGTTACGAGTGATTCAAATGAAATTGAGAAACACAGCATTGGAGCACTAACATCAACTCCAATTACAGAGAAAACAAGAGAGGGTTGGAGTTAAGTCCAGTTGGAAGAAAAAATTGAAGCACTCCCCATAAAAAAAAAAACTTCTGTGGATCGAAAATTGACCTAGAAATATTAAAAATTTTGAAAGCAGATGAAAAGAATGGCAATGCCTGTGGAAACCAAAGCAATTCAGTAGAGGATGATTGTATGGCATATAGTAAATATGTTGGAGTCACATTAAGCAAGTTTGATAATTATCACAAATCATTAGCCAAAATGAAGATAGCACAAGTGGAATCCAGTTTGACAAATTTTTCACAAGTCCTTGACCAAAAAGACAAAGAATAAATCAACTATATCATAAACTGTCTTAAAACATTGTTATAAAGTTGAATTTCTTTGTAAATGATTATGTAATTGTAAAAGAGAGCTGTTTTACTGTTTGTACATGTTATATTCTATATATTTGCTTTCAGCTTTGGTTTTAAGAAACAAGACAAGGTTTTTTCCAAACTATATTAACATAAACTACATCTAATTTAATAAAATTTACTTAAAATGTCACTTGCCTTAAAAAAAAACTGAGTTTACATTAGCAATAGTTAAACTTGTAAGAATGAAAAATACCCATGCAATAAGGAAAAGAATGTTGAAAGAATAAATCATAGTCATTCAAGGTTCTCATTAAAAGATATATGATTTTGCTGCCATGGAACTTCACCCTCTGGTTTTATGAAATACTCTTTAAATTGATCTCGTACTTCCGAGGCATCTTTCTTATAAAAATTTGAGCCTTGTCTCCCAATTGACTTTAAGCCTTGTGCATTCTCCACAGAGGCTCTCCATGAGCCCAATAAAATTTTTCCATTTCTAAAATAAGGGGATAAAGATAATAATTCTCTTGCAAATGAAATCTCTTCTCAAATTTGTCTAAGAAGTCAAGAAAATTTCACATCAGTTTGAGTTCATCAAAATTGATTCATTAAAATTTTTGAATTATGGTATTCTTGAAAAAAATTAAGGAATCTAATCATACCTGTCCTCACTGTCCACAAAACCATGGGGTAAATAATGTCTAGAACATGCTGGTTGTTTTGCCTCCGACTTTATCAGGAAATTATGAAGTGCAACTACAGCCATGGTAATCCTCTCAACTTTCATAGGTTTGGCAATAATTTCCTTCTCAATATTCGAAATCTTGAGGCAGCAATGCCAAATGCATTTTCAACAACTCTTCTGGCCCTGGAAAGGCGATAGTTGAAAATTTGATCATGTTGTGGTAGAAATTTGCCAGGGCAGGGACGCATCAGATTTTTCATCAATGGAAATGCTTCATCACACACCTCCATCACTATGACGACCATTATCGCCAATGTCAACTAATATGAATGAATAGTCTGCTGCAGCAATAGCCATGAGAACAATGCTATGCCAGTGTTTATAATTATAGTACAAACTCCTGATCCTGCTGGTGCTTGTATTTTTATGTGCTTGCCATCAATGGCCCCACAACAATTAGGGAAGTTCCAGATTCTTTTGAATTCATCAGCTATTTTTAACCACTCATACGGTGAACTGGGAGCTTTCAAATATCCTTTTTGACAAAAGAGCATTCCAAATTGCCAAACAGGTATTCGAAATAATTCTGTGTACAGTTGTCACTCCTATTCTATAACTGAAAGACAAACTTCGTGGGCTGTCTCCTGATGCTAAATAGCGAAGTGTCAACGCTAATCGTTGTTCTGAACAAATGACATCACGACTTTTATCGCTCTTTCCTTCTGACTGTACTCAAGATGAGGGAAAGAGTCGTACCAGGATGCATTAAATTTGTTAGGTCTATTTTTGGCTTTTGTTTCATTTACAGGTAAAGACTTCAATCTAGGTTGACAGGGTCCTTGTTGCATGAGAAACGTTCTTTGATCGTCATTCATATCTCGTGGCTTTTCGCTTGGATCACGAGAAGTAATTTTAGTGCTTTCTTCTAAAACTAGGCACTAATTTCAATTTCATCTCGCTGTGCTTTGTTGATGACAATTGAACAATTTTTTACAAGTTTCACAGACAAATCTTGTATTTTTTTTTTGCTATGTGCTTCACTTTTTATGAAAAGCGCTTCGCGTTTACGTGTCTATCATTATCTATTATCGCTTCATTAAGAATATTCTCACACTGATGAAAAGTTGTGATAGAACTCTTAACTGTCCTGCACAAGTGATCCATTTATTTCCCCTCTTATATCTGAAGCTGAGCATTGACTTAAAGGAGCTATAGACATACTGACTGGTTGATAATAGCAATTGACTTACCGTGTAAATCTTTAATACTACTTCTGTAAATAATTTCTGGGTAACCTACTGGTCCCATCATTTTTTTGATATTAAATTTGATAAGAACTCTCTTCTTGGTTATCTGAATCACAGTTTGATGACTTTTCACTTTGTGCAGCCTAAACGTATAAAGACATTGTAAAAAAGACACATCCAGTAAATTAAATACAAAAATCAGCTTTTAACAGATGGATAAATGACAATTGAAAGATTCGTATTAAAAAAGATTCGTATTTTTATTCTGAACAATCAAAAGACTAATGAAATAAGTATTACATGATTTAATCTTAACGTCTACCTCTTCATTTGAACTATCATCACTCAGCAAATGATATAACATTAAAATTATATATTATTACAAATAAATATACTCTTTTAAAACAAATAAAGTCAATTCATATTAAAAGTCGTTTCATTCTCAAGTTTTAAAAAGTTAGATGAGTCTTACTCTCTGAGCACGTATTTTTATGATTCGGACAACGGACAACAAATAAGGCAATAAATTAATATTATTTAACAATAATATAATAAACTAATGCTAAAAACGATGCCACGTGATCAGTAGCCTTTCTTTCATTGGTGAATTTTTATTTGACATAGCTGTGAGAAAAAAATAGTTGAAAAATCTGAACTATCTGCTAGGTCATAAAAAATACTAGTTGCGAGTCTGCGAATTCTCGCAGCGAGCTGCGAGTTGATTCGTGCGATAGGTGGAAATGAGGCTGTTAGCCTCATTTCGCAAGAAGACGCAAGAAGACCAAACGCTTAGAAGACGCAAGAAGACGCAAGAAGACCTAACGCAAGAAGACCAAACGCTTTTGAACGTTTGGTCTTCACTCTATTGCTCTACACCAAAATCCACTGGTACACCAATGGATTTTGGTGTCGAGTAATGGAGTGAAGACTGGAAGAAAACAGTCGCTGTTCCAAAATAAAGCTATCGCTGTCGCTATAAGTCGCTATCGCTGTTTTGATTCATATATTAGCTAAAGCCTCATTTCCACCTATCGCACGAATCAACTCGCAGCTCGCTGCGAGAACTGGCAATTGTTCGTGTCTGTTTCGAGTACTCGTTGTTTGATAACTGTTTTTCAGCGAGCTAAGAAAAAAAATGGCGGACGCTTAAGGAGTGAAGAATGAGTCCTTTGACTAGAAAGCAAACAATTCTTTTACTCTATTTGCGAAGTCGAAGAAGACAGCGTGAAAAATGCCGCAAACGTTTTTGGATCAGGCCGATATTCCAAAAGAGATCTCAACATAGCGAATTTTTCACTTTAGTGAAGGAATTACGAGATGGAGACAACGAAGGTTATTTCCACTATTTTAGGATGTCACCTGATCAATTCGATTACTTACATGGCCTTGTAGGCTCCCTTGTATGCTCCCTTTGTATGCTCGTTATTTCCAAGTGGACCAGGACGAGAAAAAGTGATCCAGCATGGATAAATGGTGTACGATCATGGAAGAAAATGAGGAGTGTTGGTGCAAACAAGAAAGGAAAACTTCATAAACACTTCAGTAGCAAGTCCCATCAAGCTGCTCTGGCTGACTTTGCTCCTTTCTCAATAACATCTGCCCATTTTGATGTGATGATGAAAAGAACAAGGAAATTATGTTGATTCTACTTGATGTGGCTCGCACTCTGGCAAGGCAGTCATTGGCGTTCAGAGGAGGAGGCGATGACAAGGACGGAAATTTCATTCAGATTGTAAATCTTCTCTCAAGACATTGTCCTGTTCTCAAGCTGTGGCTGGACGATCAGCACCTCAAGCCATACAGTACAACATATACAAGCTCAGAGGCACAAAATGAGATGCTTCATTTGCTGGCTCAACCTGTGAGGGATGAAATTCGTGCTGAAATTAAGTCAGCCGGTGTATTTTCTGTGTCTGCAGACACTACACCTGATATATCGAATCAAGACAAGCTTATCGTTGCTGTAAGATATGTCAACCAAATGGGCATCCCATGCGAGAGACTGGTTGAAATGAAAGAGACCCTTGATAAAACTGGTGCTGGAACGGCTAAAGATGTCATAAAATCTTTAATGGAAAATGAAATCGATATAGATATGCTTGCATTTCAAACATACGATTTCAAAACATCAATGTCTGGACGACTAAATGGTGCTCAAAAAGTGTCGCAAGAAATTTTAAAACGACAAGTGCCTTACATCCCGTGCCAGGGACATCGGTCTAATACATTCAACGAGCATTGTTGCAAACATAGCTCAATAATTACATCAATGTACGACGCTCTAGAAGACGTATATGTGTTTTTTATCAAAAGCACAAAAAGAAATAAAATTATAGAAGAAAGTTGCAAAGATGTTGAAAACAATTTAAAGTTTCGAAACTTCTCAAAGACGAGATGGGTTTATAATTCTGAGTCCATTGATGCTGTCTGGAGAAGTTATGAGGTAATACCAAATGCTATTGTGAAAGTTATCAATGCTCGAGATGTAGAATCAAAAGTAAAAGCTAAAGGCGATGGAATAAAAAAGAAATTTTTTAGTTTCGACTTTCTTTTGCTCTTATGTTCATGCGAATCATAATGACAAAACCAAAATCCTAACCAAACAACTGCAGGAGGAGCTAAATATAGTAGATGCACTTAACCTGATTGATGCTACAGTAAAAAACCTTAGACAAATTCGAAGTGACGAGAACGGATTAGACTCGAAGATAGAGGCAATGGTTGCATTTGGAACCAAAGTAGGAATAGACGTAATGGCAGAATACACTCGTCATCATCGATCAAGAAAGCCACCCAAACGAATTGGCGAGTATTCCGAAATAACAACAGAAATATCATTTAAAGATTTCTACCGAAAGGAAATGTACTTGGTTCTAGACTCACTTATCACCGAGTATACCGATAACATTAAAGATTGCATCGACAAAATAAAACCTCTTGAGAGAGCTTACAGCTGCCGCTAGAAAGGCCGATGGCTGAAACAGTCAATGAAATTTGTAGTCTTTTCCACAGGCGGTAAAAGATGTTGATGCAGAAATACTGCTGTTGGAGTTGGAAACTTTCAATAATATTGTGTCAACACAACTTAAATCAGAACCTAAATCCCTTCAAGACGTTGCGTTATTTGCTTTCAAACACAAAAACGTCTTTCCAACAGTGTGCAAGGCGTATCGACTATTGCTGACCGCTCCAGTGTCCGTGGCAAATAATGTGGATAAGATTAAGTTGAAATTATTACCTTGTGAAATAAACTCCATCAATAAGATTTGATACAACCCTTGGGTCTGTGTTGTATTCTTGAAGAACCTTGATATCACATGGTTTGGCTGTGATCTTGAAAAGATACCATGGGACAAACGTTGATACAAAAGATATCACGGGATACACGAGGATAAAAGATATCATGGGGATAAATGATGATACAAAAGATATCACGGGGATAAATAATGATACAAAAGATATCACGGGGATAAATAATGATACAAAAGATATCACGGGGATAAATAATGATACAAAAGATATCACAGGGATAAATAATGATAAAACATACGTATCATGGGATAAACGATGATACTATAGATACTATAGGATAAACAACGACATCAAGGGATAAACGACTTTAATACTAACTGATGATATCTGAACAGGTATACCAGAGCTATTGAATATCTCGACGCCATTTAATCCAACGTAATACTGGTCACCCCAGGTTGTAAGAAAGTTTATGACAAGGTTTTGACCACTTGGTAACTCAAGAATTGTAAAATCATCAACTACACTACGTAAAAAGAAAGACATCTCTTTGAAGATATCAATTCAACAATTATAAAACTTTTAAGAAATACAAAACAATTTTCGTGTTTCTAAGGAATAATAGAAACACAAGACAAAGTTTGGGAGAAACGAGAAATGCCTGCAACAAAAGCTATTCTTTGAATTGTTAGAGCTTCATTCCTATTACAACTGAAATTACCTTAAGATTACACCATCGTCTTGAATATGACTATCTTCGACAAGAAATTCGTCTAAAGCATCTCCTATAGAATGTTTATGATCACAACAGTTGATATGAACGTTCATTGGTCAATTTTATCTAGAAGTCAACTGACCAATGAGGTCAATTTTCTCTAGAGGTCAACTGACCAATGAGGTCAATTTTCTCTAGAGGTCAACTGACCAATGAGGTCAATTTTCTCTAGAGGTAAACTGACCAATGAGGTCAGTTTTCTAGAGGTCAACTGACCAATGAGGTCAATTTTCTCTAGAGGTCAACTGACCAATGAGGTCAATTTTCTCAGAAGGTGAGCGTCCATTGTTTAATTTTTACTGAAGGTTAACAATCATTGGTCAGTTGGATTCCATTTAACGCGTCCACTTCAATACTAACGAGTCTTCTTCAATACTAACGCGTCCATTTCAATACTAACGCGTCCACTTCCATACTAACACGTCTACTTCAATACTAAAGTGTCTACTTCAATACTAACACGTCTATTTCAATACTAACAAGTCCACTTCAATACTAACGCGTCCACTTCCATACTAACACGTCTACTTCAATACTAAAGTGTCTACTTCAATACTAACACGTCCACTTCAATACTAACAAGTCCACTTCAATACTAACGAACGTTAAATTGTGTATCAAAAAACTACCTTGGTGATCCATATTAATCTTCATCGAAGGAGTCAACCGTCCTTCTTCTAGAGAGATTCTTCTAGCCATTTTTTGAAACAACAATTCTCATTCTCATGATTTCATTCTCATTCGTAGCATTTTTTTTTCGTTTTTTAAGAAAACGAAAGCTACGAAAAAAAGAAGCAACGACATGAAGAAAACGAAAGCTACGAAAAAAAGAAGCAACGACATGAAGAAAACGAAAGCTACGAAAAAAAGAAGCAACGACATGAAGAAAACGAAAGCTACAAAAAGAAGCAACGACATGAAGAAAACGAAAGCTACGAAAAAAAGAAGCAACGACATGAAGAAAACGAAAGCTACGAAAAAGAAGCAACGACATGAAGAAAACGAAAGCTACGAAAAAAGAAGCAACGACATGAAGAAAACGAAAGCTACGAAAAAAGAAGCAACGACATGAAGAAAACGAAAGCTACGAGAAAAAGAAGCAACGACATGAAGAAAACGAAAGCTACGAGAAAAAGAAACAACGACATATCTCATTTCTATTTCAAAAATGGCTATTTCATTCTCATTTCTATTTCTATTATCTATTCTCATTTCTCTTTTTAAAGTTTTAACATCATACTACGTAATGAAGACAACTTAGACTGTGGCTGTGACAATAGTATATAGAGGGACTTAAGATTAGACTCAAGTTATCTAGTTATTTCTGAATATGACACATGACACGACTAAACATGACCTCTTCATGACTCTAGACTAGTAGAAATTAAATATCAAATCACTCTTGATGTAGTATGTGCGTAAGAATCAAAGTTTCAACATTATGTCACTGCCGAAGAAGCCATTATATTGGGGTGTATAATAACCCAAGAATGAACTCTTAAAAATCAAGTTGTAATAATTGCTTAAATTTGAACCTAGGGAGAAGTCAGTAGACATGGAATAACACCTTGAATTATCACAAATTACCTTACCTGGGAACAACTGGCAATTTTACTTGTAGGCAATCCAATATTTGGCGCCCAGGCCACATCACACACCCAATCGCTATGTGCTTCCAGCTTCTCTTCCTCTTCCCACTGGCCATCAGTTGCACTTAATTAATAATGGAGAGATTACATAGAAAACCACGCTGACTTTTGTAAATTGCTGTTTTCTGAATAACATAAAATAATGGAAAACAGTATGGGGTTTACAACGCAAGTCTAGGAGGTGAAATTAAAGGCAATAAAGACCGTTAAAATAGAGTTATAATTGTTATCAAAGGAAAAACAAAACATGAACACAATATAAAATCCGTCGATCATTCACGATGTTAGTAAGCCCTTAATAACCGAGCACGAGAATAATAAAAGGTTTAATAAAGGTGTAAAAAAACGTTCTTTCTTTTCTCGTTCTCGCTGCTTTACAAAGACTTGTTTTCACTCCTCCACTCTTCGTCCGCAAAAAGAAATGATTTGAAAATGTGTCCTCCAAAAAACTAATTTTCTGAGTGCTCTTCCTTTCCCTTACATTCCTACATGATTTTTTCTTGTTTTTTTTTCGTTTCACAAAAATTTTAATGTTTGCTTCACGAAGCTAACATTTATTTGAAAAAATTACATGCAATGGAGCGCTGATCCATTACAGGAAAGTAATTCTGCGCCAGCAAAAATACTTCTGAGCCAATCAAAACACGCCATTTCACCGGAAGTGTCGCTTGCCATATAAATATACATAGTTAAAGTACCTCATCTTCCATATTTTTACCAAACTATCGCAGCCTCCAGTCACTAATCGTTTCTCTATTTCGCCACGCTTCGGTTCATCAGCAATCTAAAGAACACGAAATTATATTCAAATCCCACAAGTCATGCACCATGTTCCGTCAAAAATTGTTACTCTAAATCAAACATGCTTTTAGCTACAGTCTGATTTGAAAGTTTAAAGTCGTTCCTATGAAAAGTAACTTTTCAATGTTACAATGAAAAAATGTTCAATTCTTTAGTTAGTTTCCATATTATGTAATACTACTTACATTAAAAAGGGACCCAGGATGCGTCGAAGGCGCCCAACTGACAGCATTACATCCAATCTAGAAGAACATTAAAAATTGCAACACAGAAAAGTTTCAGTACATGGGCCGTTTGTACGAAAGGCGTTTTAATCATCGTTCAAATCGCTATCTACCATATAAATTTCAAACGCTTAATTTAAATTCATTTCACAATACGTTATGGTGTGTTTTATGTGACATCAAAGCAGTGGCAACGGAGTGGAGAAATACTATTACTTCTTACTGTGTGTGCATTGTTGATCTTTTTTACCTGCCAGTGTCCGTCACCTACGGTACAAACAGAGTTTCATTAGAGCAAGATATTTTCACATGAAAATAACAAAGTCTTTTCATTAATTAATATCGTAATATTTTTACCAGTCTTTTGTCTTAGTAAGGTAAATGATTCTTTAAGACAAGCATACATTCATAAATTTACGAGGTACGTATCTTGTCATCATACGTACAATACTGCTATATTTCTATGTTTAAAAATATCGTATACCTTCACTTGATATGATTGAAACACTTCCATCTGAGGAGCCACAAGCCAGCATCAATCCATAGGCTTCGGGAGCCCAGCAAAGAGAATTCACTACAAATGGTATAGTAGTTATATAGGTGCTGTGTATGCTAAATGTGATTCCTAAAGCATGGTATATGGACCATATGCGTGTGTTCTGACCCTACGGATGAATTGCAAGACATGTATGTCAACTTTTGTAAAGTAAACTGTAAGATTCGGGCATGTTTTGGCCGTTATTTCGAGATGGCCAATGGATAGATGTAATTCTACAACTAGTTGACCGGTCACAAAAATTTGGTGTGTCAAAGCAATGAATATGGCTGGTTAATGACCACTGACCAACACTTCTTGGTAACCCGAGAGGTTACCAGTAGCGTAGCCAGCCTGGGGATTTACTCCTAATAGTAAAAGTCGGGCTAACTAAGCTACTGATGGTGATGTGTTGATACCTGATGAATCGTGGTTGATAAATTCTTGCAGCTTCATCCATCCATTACTGTTTTCTTTCCAGATAATTACCTACGTACCACAGTTAAAATATTGTAACGTTGAGCCGTATAACGGTCAGATTTGGATCCTCATGTCCCTCGGTATATGCACTTGCGCCAGGAAATCATACACTTGCCACGTATCGTTATTGTTGCATTATATTTAATCATACGAGTTTATATACAATTTTACTATGCTCTATTCATCTCTTGTCTTGTCTTGTCTTGTCTTGTCGTGCATTTATGTAATAACTAAAGGGAGTGTTCTCCGTCATGTCCTGCACGTAATAGTGGGATGACTTAGTTCATTCTAAGCGCGTTATAGCTGCTTTCATGCTTTGTGGTCGGGCTTGTGTGGTTAGCTTGTAGCGCGTTGTTGTGCTTACTCACATCCTATATCCGTTGACGCACAACAACTATGACTAAGCTTGATTCGTCGCTACACTACCCCCTTCTTAGAGAAAGCATGTCCCATGCGCTGATAAACCTAGTATGTGATATATGTCTACTAAATCATGCAAAATTTAAACAATTAAAATCATGTTGTTCAGAATATTCAGTTTATGTCTACGTCAAAATCCGCCATCCATCCGGGAGGTCGAATTTGACGCCGTGGTCGGGACAATGAAGGTTGCCGTTCCTCATGTATGGGCAGTTCGCCCTCATGTATTGGGTTTGTGTACTCGAAGACAGGTGAGTCGTGGGTGTACATAAGATCAGTTTCGTCCGGAACGTAACGTTGCTCGTTGACACGAGGTCGGTCATCTTCATGAACACTCTGTCCACGCGTTGCTTGAGGGTGACTATTCTCCACAGAATTGATTGTGCAATGTTTCAACCGATTGTAGTGAACAATTTGCTTTCTTCCTTCTCCATTCTCTGCCCCAATCTTGTAATTCACGTCAGAAAGTTTGTCAAGGATGACAAACGGTCCTACCCATGGTGATCGTAACTTGCGTGACTCACCTTGTTTCATTGCGGAATTGAGAAGCCAAACACAATCGCCGATACCAAAACCATCACCAGTACCGCGAGCGTCATAATACCGCTTTTGCCGCTTCTGTGCTGTTTTCAGGTGTTCACGAGCTAGATCGTGCGCTGCCACGAGGCTGTCTCTCAACTCCTCGACGTACGCGTGCACATCCTTTGATTGGTCAGGAGTGTTTCCGAACATCACATCTGCAGGTAAACGGATTTCTCGTCCAAACATTAGCTGGTATGGAGTAAAGCCAGTTGATTCCTGCACACTCGATCGGTAAGCCATCATTACTCGGGAAGATGTACGTCCCAATCCTTTTGATGTTTTGCTACATATTTGGAAAGCATCGCTTCAAGAGTTCTATTAAAGCGTTCAATCATTCCATCTCCTCCGGGCGATACGCCGATGTGCGAGTCTTATGGATTCCCAAAGCCTACACACTTCTTGGAATAGTGAAGACTCAAAATTCCTACCTTGATCTGTGTGGATGGTATCTGGTGCACCAAAACGGCAGATGAATTCGTTCACCAACTTTTCCGCAACTGTATATGCCTCTTGGTTTGGAATGGCATAACTCTCCGTCCATTTTGACAAGTAGTCGCCAACCACCATGATGTATTTGTTGCCGTTTGTAGACACTGGTAAAGGTCCCAGTATATCGATTGCAATTCGTTCTAAAGGATAACCAGGGGGACAACTTACCAGTGGTGCCCGATTCCCTTTGTTGCACCCTTACCTACAGCGCACTTTTCACATTTCATCAACCATTCTTCGACATCTTGACGTTGACCAGGCCAGTAAAATCTCTGTCGTACTTTCGAGAGAGTTTTTGTTATGCCCAGGTGACCGGAAGTTGGACTGTCGTGCAGACTTCGTAACACATCGTTCACTAAACAACGAGGTACTACCAACAGGGCTCCGTCGTTGTGCCATCGTCATTTTCTAACGACGATACAAAACACCGTCACGAATTTCCAAAACGTCCCAATGTGAACACAAATTGTGCACAGCTCGGCTTAATCCTTTTAATTCTTCTTTTCGTGGAGGATCTACCTGGATCTCCTTCTTAGACAACACATAGCAAATCGTAGGGTCAGCTAACTGTAGTGATCGTAACTCAGCGGACGTCCACGTGGGACACCAAGCTTCCTCAGAATTCGTCCGTTTTTCAAGTTCTATATTTCCTACGTTATGAACTTCGATAGACGGGTTGGGCCGTCGTGACAAACTGTCCGCATGTCCATGTCGCTTCCCAGGTCGAGACTGCACCTTAAAATCAAATTCTGCAAGTTTTTCTAGCCAACGTGCTACTTGCCCGTTTGGTTCTTTAAAGTTCGTTAACCAACGTAAGGCGTCATGATCCGTTCTCGCAATGAAACGTAGTCCGTACGGATAGTGCCGAAATTGTTGGGTATAGAAAACTAAAGCCAACATTTCTCGTTTCGTCACTGAATAGTTACGCTCACTCTTGCGTATCTTTAACAGGGTGTTTTAATGGTATACCCCTACGGCCGTTGTAATTTATCGTTTTTACTTTTCTAAGCATATCTAAAGCTTTGTTCGTAAGTTCTATATCATTATCAGCATATTGAAGTTCTTGTCTTAGCTGTTGTATTTTATCATGCTGTTTGACTTCATTTTCATAGAACGCCTCTTTAGCCTTTGATAAGTCCTCTAGAGCCTTGTTGTGACGTTTCATTTCCTCAGCATAACCGTTTTTATCAAGTTTATGAAATAGCCAGCCTGCTAGGGAAAAACCTAACCCATTAACAACTGCTCCTATAGATGTTGATAATCCACTAGTAATAACACTTGTCATATATATTTATACAGATTTAACTGGATTTTCAGGAATCCATTTTTTGTCTTGAGCATATTTAACTAGCATTGTTGATGCTGTAACAGCAATAGCTAGTTTTGCAAAATCTTTGATACTGTTTGTGTCTGTTAATTTTTGACCTAGTAGTTTTTTAGACGCCATAGAAAGACCTACAGCAGTTGTTGTCACAAGCACTGCATCAAAAGCTTCATTCATAAATTGTTTCTTAGTCATAGTATTACTCATATATAATAGGAAATATTTTATTCAAATGAGTCTAAATTATATTGTTTATTTTTTGTATCAAAACATGTTTTCACTAGTTGTTTCTTCTCTCGCTTTATCGTTTGTTAATTTTTCCTGTCTTTTATCATCTTTCCGTGCATAATAGAGGCTAGCAATAGCGGTTATCACTCCAACTGCTCCAAATAAGAATCCATAATTAATATTCCAGCTATCATCCTCAATTTTCTTTTTATTTTCTAATTCAATCCTATCTCGCATCTTTTTTTCTTTAGAAGCTTTCGATATAGCAGCCAAGCGTTTCCCAGCTTCAACCCTAAATGCATCTTTCTCTTTCTTAACAGTAGTTATCTTTAAGTTTTCTTCAGACATGTTATATAATACTGTAGATTTTGTTCACAGGTAACTAACAGATAATCTTATAGATAACTCACAGATAACTTATAGATAACTCACAGATAATCTTATAGATAACTAACAGATAACTTACAGATCATTATATTTTTTGTTATATTTACTCACCATACCATCTATAGTAGTACAAAAGTCGATTATAATATCATCGATAACTTTTATGTCTGATAGAAATATCAATTCATCATAAGCTAATCCTCTTAAATAAGATCTTATAGTCATAAGTATTTTTTCATATAATTTATATGCAAATTTACACATTTCTAAGTTATTATTAATTTTACTTTTAACAATATAACCTTGAATTAAAGCCCCTAAACCACTCAAGGTGGCTATAACTATCGGGTTTACGGTTACACTGCCAGCAATTGCACCAGTCGAGACTAGAAAAATACTTCCCATGTTTAATGATAGTCTAATTTTATTTAATTTATTATACTTCCATTTATAACAGGTATACATCTTGTGATAGTATAAATACAATTTTTTCAGCTTTTCAAATTCCTCTTGACTCAACTCACTCGAAATATGATTAAAATCTATAACTTTTTCATATTATATTATAAGACGTATTTAATTAATATAAATGATGATAGCGTTGATATACCGAGTAAAGTAATCATATCTGTTTGATGGGGATTATTTACTATCATTTTGTATGTTTATGTACTACTGGTTTTTTATGCACTTCATCTAGATTATCTAGGTGTTGTGAGGTTGTATTATCTTGATGTACTTTTTTTCGTTCTTCCTTTTCAACTCCATAATAATTTATTTTAGAATTAATACCGAATTTCATAGTTTTATTAGCTAATGTTAAAATATTATTATACCCATCAATCTTTTTATCTAAGAAAATCATACGGCTGGGTATTAAAATCATACCAGGGCTGATTGCCATATTTAAAATAACATTCGTGTCTTTTATACTCTTTCTCATGTTAGATATCAATACAGTCGTATCATTCTGTACTATAGTATCCTCTAATAATTTCCTAAAAACGGTTTGAGTTTGCAAGCTCTTAGCTCCATGATTAACTATTACCCATCTTGTATTTGCCTGTGAACCAAGAATTGTATAAACAAAGCTTTCAATGCTCTCCTGCAAAAGAACTTTTCCGATTTTTGTAATACCTTCAGAATTATATGCAATGAAGTTCCTATAATCAGTATTTGAATATTGAAAATTAACATAATATCCCCAACCAGTTTCTCCATCACCGTCTTTAGTGGGTGAGAATTTTAAAATACCTTTATAAGGTATATGCTTTTTCAATTCCGTAAAGTCATATTTGTCTAATAACGATGGATGCTTCATAAATTTTCGGATCTGATAATACAAATGGTATTTAACAAGGCTTTGTATAATTCTACTTTTATTAAAACTTAAATGATTAAGCGCAATACCACATAAAAAACTAGCAACATAAGCCCCACAAATCATAGCGTAGTACGCTTCTTTTTTATAATTTAAATGACTTTTAATATTGTATCTTATACCAGTCGGCTGTTCTTTTTTACTTTTAATTTCACTTGTCCACGTTGCTGTTATAGGTGGTAAACTACTCATAAAATAATCATTCTCTGTGA